AACGGATGTTCTTAGGCTACCCAGAGGATACTTGGTCAAAGACCGGAAGTCGTGAGCTGCTTGAGTCATATGTAAAAGAATCGTTTCTGGCCACTCCCACGTGAATGGCGATCAGAAGACTTTCCTCACTTGCGTGAACTTCTACACATGACTCCATCCTCCTCAGATCCTTTCAGATATACACATATGTATATATGTACATAGAAATATGCCGCATATATTGACAAGCTCGATTAGCGGGATGCAAGGGGTTTGGCAGGCGTTGCAGCAGAAGAAGAAGAATCGTGTCAGCGATTTTCATTTCTCCAGCAATTAATTGATGTCTTCAATTAAAAATGCAATGCACGATGGAACGCAGCAAACACACACACACATAAACGTTGCTACAAACATTCATAAATATGCCTGCAATGTCCATGTCCCAGCAGTGTTTGCGGAGAAAAGTAGGTGACCCATCATCATTAGGCATCATCAACAAAGCAATGCGCTGTCACGCAGCTGCGGCTGCCACAAACTACAACAAAACACTGCACATAACCTGATCGACAGTGCCAAACAACTGCCGCATGCATAAAGCTGGCCATGGCAAAGTGCTGGACGATGATTTTTGAAATGCGTGCACAGCCAACCAATTCAACGCGCAGCTCGGCGCGCAACTCATCGCAGTAGCCATCGCCACAAGTCGGGACGCTGACGTGCGCCGGTCCATCCCAGCATGACGCTGCACACATTCCATAAAACACAATGGACCAGCAAAGCAACCAAGCAATGAAATGCTTTTGCTGCTGCCAGCAGCTGTGTTGCTGGTGCTAATGCAATTGTTCTTGTTGTTGCTACCAACTTACGCTAGTTGCGGCCAATGGCACTTGCGCCACTTTTACTTAATGAGCATGTGAATGGCATTGCCGGCAGCCGCATTGACCAATAAACGTGATATAAAGGACGCACTCGCCGCACACACTCTCACTTATACATGTGTGCGTGTATACATGTGAATGCCTTGGTATGTGTGTTGCATTATACTGAAATCATAAGCATGAAACCAGTCAGTCTATAACTCACTTACTTTCATATGAATCGATGTAATTAGCACAACAACAGATTGAGAAGGGGAAAAGTGCTTGCGTTACAGTTGTGGTCAGCTTATTGGAAGCGCTTGCGTTGGTGATATGCTGATTTTTGTGATATTTTTCGCTTTTACGTGATAGTTGGTTTAAGGTTGTATTATAAATCTAAAATTTTGCATTTCTATTAAATATTAAAATTAATTACAGTTACAAAAAAAAAAAAAACTTAAAGGTTTCAATATAGGTTTAAGTATACTCCAAATATTATGAAAATCTCTAACTCTCTAACTTACTATCCTATTCAATGCTCTAATTAATAAAAACTTTATGCATAAATATGTACGAGAGAAGACATTTGAAATATGAGTCAAATGGGATCCTATCACTATAGAGTTCCTAAAATGCACGAAAACTTAGAGCGCCTTGAGCTTTTTTCGCGAGAAACCTGAAATCGATACTTGTAATTGTCGTAAAACATCGTACATGCATACATATAGCATACACTTTTTATACTTCATATATTTTATTCACCTCTTTTTACTATAGTTTAGCAAAGCGTCACTATTTGGCTTCCCAGCACTGTCTCTATTATAATAACATAAGCAAATAGACGTGATTTTCTTGTTCGACGCGCACATTAGTAGCTTTCCTTACCTTATTTGCCCCACAAATGTGCATTCCTGACACTAATCGTTCAATATCTTGCACACTCTTATTCTTTACAGATTGACGATGCTGCCATACAGGTGTACAAAGACGGTGATTATGGCGCCTATCTGGACTTGGAGTCCTCACTGGCTGAGCAAGCGGAAGAAATTGAAGGCCTTAATTCTAGGTGAGTGTGCTGACAAAGCGATGAAATGTATGATAAAATAACTAAAAAGCAAAAACAACAACAATACTATTGTTAACAACAACAACACAGTGCATTTGCGTGCATTTAAGTACCAAAGTGCAAAATAAGTATTTGCATTTTATTGTTATAATACTAAATTTTTTTTAATATTATTTTGTTGTAAATAATATATTCAACTCAGCGAGTTGCAACTGAGCATTCATGCTGGCGTTCGTGTGCACCAAATGTAGGCGTTGTTATGTAATTTGAGCTTTGCAGATTTCACACCTACGCCGTTTCTTAGAAGTTAACTCATTTGTGACTCTCCAGTGCGACAATAACAACAATTCTGTTCACTGAAGTTGTGAATAATATTCTCGATTAGAATTACTTAATTAAGAATATGTACTCGTATTACTCATTAGCCAACTTGATTGTGTGCGGAGGAGGGTATTATATCTACTGTTTTGTTATTGTGGTGTTCTTGGTAAACAATGCCGCATGCATTCTTAATGTTTTCGTGCGCCAACAGGCTTTACTACCAATTGAAGTTATTTAGAAAAAACAAATTATGCATAATGTGGGTATTAAATGAAAATTTGAATTTCTATGCTTAATTTCTCATTTTAAAATATTGAAATAATATAAATTTTATAAAAAAATGAGAATTAAATTTTTTTTGCAATAAAACAATAAAATCGTTTTTTTTTCGACTTCACTCTATGCATATACAAATGATTCCTTTTCAGAACTTTGATCGGTCAGTTTGTATGAAAGCTATATACTATAGTGACTCGATCTAAGCAATTTGTTCAGAGACTCCACCGTTGTGGTGTACAATGACCGACGCCAAATTTGATGGAAATATCTCGTCAAATGAAGAAATTTTCCATAAAAGAACTGAATTTTGACCTATCAGTTTGTATGGCAGCTATGAGCTACATTCAATTCGAAAATTTTGTTTGGAAAATTGTAGCGCTGACTTGGGGAATAATCTGTGACAAATTACGAGAAGATGTCAAGTCAAATCAAAAAGTTCTCCAAACAATAATTTAACTTTGATCGATCATATGGGAGAAACGAACATAGAAACAATTTCAGATTGATATTTCAAATATTTCACTTTATAGGACCTCCAATATCTAGGATCTGAATAGCTCCTATATTTTTCCAATTCTTTTTTTGTATTGAAAATGTTAAAAGTTATTGAAAATCACCTCGTGTGAGTGTTTTGGATTCGTATATACCGGTGAAAGAATTGGGTATTGTATTTTAGATCCAATATGCAGAAAATATTTTGTATAACTGACTTCTTTTTCCCTTTGGCAATTAATTAATAATTCTAAGGATTCCATTTCGTGCTTCATATACACATGTATTGGCTTTTCTCATAAGAATGATATGATTTATAAGTCGCATCGGTAATTTTTTTTATGTGTGTATGATGATCTGTAAGTTAGGGGATTCGATTATTTCACGAAATTGTGAATGACTGTCAACACTATTAGACTACTTCTTCTGGGGTTATTTTAAGTCATTGGCCTTTGACAATAAATCAGCTTCTCTTCAAGCTTTAGAAGTCAATATTAAATTTGTTATTCATGACATACGACTTGACTTAGTGGGAAAAGTACTCGAAAATTGGGTTTTTCGAATTCGTTGCTACAAAAGAAGTCTTGTGTTTGCATGATGTTATATTCAAAGCATATTGAGTATTGAATTTAACTCTGATTGGAGCATTTGGCTTTAGTTCTAAGCGGACTCCGAACATCTGATGTACATGAAAAGAAGAGTTCTCATATTAAAAATGTTTAAAATATGCCGAAGATAAATTTAGTTCCAATACCTTGAGAGTATTCTAACTAAAGTTACTATAACTAATTGGTTAATGGCATACGAATGCAAGAAGGGCTTATACAAACTGACCTCACATTGCTTGACCTTCACGTTTCTATAGTAAATTCTGGGTTATAAGAAAACAAGGAAAACGCTTTATCGCTTACAGACTTAGAAGTTAGTTATAGAAATAGATACATACATGTATGACAAACCACAAACTGACAGAAATCGCTTTCCTAGAATCAACATTTGACTGTTTTCCTACAAATTTGCGAATATGCGCATGTGTGCGTAAATGAATTGCTGAATGTTTACGTGAATTACTTAGAATCTGCCAGCCACTTGACATTTACGTATCGAATGAATAGCATTAGACAATCTGGCCACCACGACTGTCAACCAGCAGTCACACCGCAATCAATCAGTAGCTGAAAAAAGTTTCTGTGGCTTAGGTAAACTAATACGAATATTCTATATATGTACGTACCACATATACATAATATATAGCTGCATGTAAGTGTATGTGTGGCTTTTATGGCTGTGGGTTAGCCTGTTTATCTCTTGATAACAATTTGTTTGCCAAACTGCGCAAAAAGCCTCGTCTAATCATATTTCCATGCACATAAACACACACACGCCCACATGCATAAGTATGTAGCTCATATTTCAGTAAACTAAATTTACTTAGTGACGTGAAAGCCAAGCAATGTGCACAATGTTAGATAAGTTGGTGAGCGGCAACGTCGACAACTCGGAAAGTCCACTGCAAACCGAAATAGCAATGATTCAATGCACTTCATTTCGGAGTAATTGTATGTGGAGCATTCTGCCATGGACCTGGCCCACTTTGTGCCACACACACACACACATGCACACAAGGTGTGCGAAACTTCACTCGTTTCCTCATTGCTCATTTTCGCTGTCGGTCTTTGATTATTTTTATGATTAACGTGTTGATTTCTGTGAAACAATCGTCAATGCGTCTGGCCGTGTTAGAAAGTGTGCAATAGCAAATAACGCGATTTTTATATTGCAAAAATAAAAATAAAAGAAATACAATTAAAATAAATAAAATAAGATTTATTGTTCACAGCTCACAGGTATTCGCTGAATTTGCGCATTCAGCTGGCAACTTTTTAAAAATGTATGTGTGTGTGTTATTTAACTCTCTTTGTTTTTTCTTGCATTATTTTGAAGAAAGTCATTGCTCGTACTTACAGTACATATGCACATATATGTATGTACATGTAGCAGTAGTTTTCGTGTTTCGGTTGCTTCTTTGCACAACTTCTACATTTCTGCGCCGATATTGATGAGCTCACTGCATACTTATGTAGCACGTTGCACAGCTTAAAATACTTTTGTTTGAAGATATTCTTATATAGTAAACTAACAGGAAATACATAGGGTTATATACTCGCATATAAGATAAATAGATGAGGTCTAGTGTGCCCTCTCCTAAGTCACAACGACCCACTTAGCCTGAGCGAATTAATAAATTCCAATATACTGCTAGGTGCTATTGAGACGATGTGATCCCTATTTGGAAACATGGATCCAAGGACCTTTATCCTGCGTCTAAAGACGATTAGCAGGTTTCTGAAGTTTCAAGTTCTCTGTTGTAGAACCGACAGTTCACACAAGAAGCTAGACCCTCCTTTTATAGTTGCTTCTTGAGCTTATAGTGGAACGTATGTAATGAGAAGGAATAGATGTCTCTAGGGAAGCTGGTTATATATTTAAACCTGCTGAGGTTGCAACCCCTTATTAACAACTTGGCCTTGAGCATGCCTCGGAGTTGTTGTCAATACTTCTCTCTGCCTAATACTTCTTCCTTGTGGAGCGGCTTCTACCATGTTAGTGGATGCTGCGAAGCGGGCGTATTCATTAGCCAGTTCTTTCCCAGCTATAGCTTTGTGACAGAGATAAGGGCACTTATTTAAGTTCCGATAGATTGTTCAGCCATTCTCTACACTCCCCCACTAGTGTCGTTTTCATCTTGCAGGCAGAGACTGTTTTAAGTGCCGCTGGACTGTAGTGAAGTATGGTACGTTCCTTGCGATAGTTACATTGGAGGTTTATCTCTGCACACCGACTTATGACAAAGATTTCCGCTTAAAAAATGCTCGGAAAGCTTGCTATATGTATGAAGAGTATGGTACGTGGTTCTGCGTGGTCGGTGTACCATTTAAACGTACTATCCATAAGCAGTAGCTCGAGAGTGCAATCATTCCATTCAGCCTTACTACAAAGATAACATTGAACTTCTTGGTAAAGTTTGTTCTATTGATAATGATGTCCCTTGTGAGAAGAGCCAGTGGTATTATGTCAATTAAGTACTTTATCCGCTGGGATGAGATCACCTCACCACTACCAAACCCTTCTGTTGTGAATTGACGCAGTGTGTCTTTGGCTACCTGCCCGATTACTAGATGCAGTGGTGTGAGCTCAAGCATGACCTTTAGTGCTGCCGTCGGGCATGTGCGCATGGCATCCGACATGTAGATGCAGCTTCGACAGGGGGATCATTACCGGTGAACCACAGAACGAATATTGTTAAAAAAAATTGTGCCGTCGACCCAAAAGCTCGGCATTGTGGATCCCATAACCTTTCCTCTCTTCTCCGGGTGGTCGATGTTGACAGTCGTCGCTTACTTCTGAACAGGTTCACCAATTGAAGTATACTTTTAAGACTGTTCCTTGGTCATTAGTCCCTGTTTCTTGATCCTTGTACCAGTACGTCCTCGCGACATGGACGTCCGATTACTTTGAAGCTTCTTAAACTATTTTTTTATGAAATCTTAGTTAGTGTATATGCTCTTTGATTTCACTAGACGATATTTCTAAAAGAAAACAAGGCTATGTGCTTAATTCGGCTAAAATTTTGGCAGTAGCCATCTTTAAGAATACCAGTAACTATATTAAGATCATTCGAGACCAAAACAACCATAATTTGGTCTAACATCAGAGGATATTTTCGACCAAAATCAAGGAATTTCAATATTTCTTTGAAGACACTTCGTTTCACAGGCACTCACAAGCTTCGCACATGCCTTATCTTTAGACCGTATTTTATGTTCGTTGGCACCCAAACTTACGTCCATCTTACATACAATTTTAGGCTTTAATTTTTACTTTATTTAAACGCTTTTAAAGGTATG